GAGTTTAAAACTGAATTGATATGGCAAAAATGAACAAAATAGACTTAATCGACTGGTTTAATTTGGTTCAGATGTCAAATTCAATTCGGTTTGTTATCCAAAAAACTTCCATTACATTTCCTGATCTTGGTTTAATCTTATTTAAACGAACTGACCGTTAGCTCATTTTTAAAATTATACTTTCTAGTTAAACCGAACCGAACGTTAGCTCATCTTTGAAATATTTAGTGATAAATGAAGTAAAGCTTAGTTATTAAGAGTTAGGGGCCAATTATTATCGAGCCAAGTTTAAGTTAGTTGAAAATAGGAAAATTGCTAGCTAGTTAACCAAAAAAATGGGAACACGAAGAATCTGTTAAAAAGAGGTTGGAGAAATCATGAAATGGTTCCAAAATCTCACATGATTTAGAGAACAACATACAAGAGTTTGAGTACTAGGATTGAAGGTGGAGGGCCCATCCATTAAAGTCAAAAAAAGAAACAGCTAAAGGGTGGTGGACATGTCATTTCCATGAACTGGCATTAGTTAGTGGATATGAAACTACCAAAAGACCTCATGTCTTGCCCTAACAAAAGCTGTGTTACCTCATTAATGATTGTCCTCCAAAGGCAATAGAAATACTACGACGGACATTGGATAGCTACTTTTTTAAACTAATTTTTAGCGTTTTTTTTTATTAATTTTTAGCATTTTAATAAAAATTATATTTTACATTTGTTGTTTAATATTAAAATAATATTTTTATAAAATATTAATTTATATAATATTTAATTTTTAGCGTTTTATAAAAAATTATTTAAATAACTATAAATTATTTAAATTGCTAAATTCTATTAAAACAGCTAACAACTATCAAAACAATTAATTTTACTGAAAGTCTTACTGCTACTAGCTTTTCAAACAGCTAAACATTATTAAAACGGCTAACAGCTACCAAAATAACTAATTTTGCCCAATATATCATATATAATAAGTGAAAGGAGAAAACAGCATCTTTTTGAAATTTATTGTAAATTTTCTAGGCGAATTCTATTAACAAAATTGGAGGCTTGAAATCTAAAATAGAAGAGTTCAAGGCAATACGCCCGTGCCTCAGCTTGCAAATAAGTGTGAAAGAAAAAGAAAATTTTTTTTATTATATAACAAAATAAAATTTAAAAAGTAAACCCATTTGCAAATGAATATATTTTTCATTTACTAATTTTGAAGTATGAAAAATATAGACCTATTAATATAATGCACATAAAATTACGATTTAATAATAATAAATAAATAAATTCCATTTCCTAGAGTGTAAAGTGCCTCCATAGCCACCCAATTATATGGGCTTTTTGTCAAAGTGGTGGAGCCCTTTGTCTTCCTTTCCTATGGCCTGTGGTTAGGTGAAGGGTCGTTTTCCTTGGAGCTTCAAAGCTTAATTGGGCTAATCAATTTAGAGTTAGTACTAAGTTTATCTAAAATATGTAAATATATCACATTAAAAATCGTGATGAATCACATCATAATCCCAACTGGATATTCTGATAATTCTTGTATTTTGTGCCCATTCCTTTGCTTAGGTCCATGTTTGTGTTGATGGAAATTTCCAAATTTGGAATTGCAATTAGGACCATATAGTGTTTCAATGGTTTTTAAAGAGGATTTTTAGACCTAATTTCCATTTCCATATAATTTTTTTCTAAAATAGCCAAGTTCCTAATTATCTTTTCCCTATATATTCATGCCTATTCTCCATGTGTTGTTCCCAAATTACTGTTAGGCAAGTTATTCAAATGCAAATTTTCTAAATTGTAATCATACCTCACAAATTTTCTATATAAACATATTTTTTATAATAGAATATTATAATGATTTACTTGAAATTTGAAATTTATATTTAAATTTCAGTACATGTATCTTTGTGGTAAGCTTTCAACTGTCATGATTCGATGAAATTATAGCTAGATCAATTTCATACGTAAATTTTTATTTTTATTTATTTTCTTATTGTTCATGTATGGTTTTGTTAACAACCAAAAGGGAAGGAAAAGAAAAAAGAATATTGGAAATTAGACAGGAAAATTGAAATCCACTTCCTAAAATTACCTAACTTAGTGATGATTTCAAAATTGAAGTAATGGATGGTATGTTTGGTCTTGTGGGGTGTGCTTTGGACTGAGGTGTGAACACAAAATATTTCAGTTTTCATGTTTTGCTCTTTTCATGAGACGTAGGCACAATTTGTTGCTCTTGGTTGTTCGTTTCTGGCCGCCAAGTATTTTTGTAGATTTTTATTTTTAAAAAAAATGAAAATGACTCTTAACTGTAAAATTCTTAATTATTTTATATACATTTATATCATAAGCACATTTGTTTGATATATTTAAATTATTATTATCTTGAAGTGTTTTTGGAAAAAAGAATTTTAGAATATACCTGTGCTGATTATTATTTGTTAGACTTTTAGACATTTTCTTAAAGAAATTTTCAATTTATTTTTTTGTTTTATTATAATTTTTAAAGGATTTTTATTAAATTGGTTTAATTTTTGAATCTGGCTTGGCTCCTCCGAATCAGTACATCAACGTTATTATAATATGTTTTTTTTTTTTTTTTTTTTTTTTTTTTGATAAGAATATAACCTTGGTTGCTGGGGATTATATTGGGTTAGACTTTTAGACATTTCTTAAAGGAAAATTTTCAATTTATTTTTTGTTTTATTATAATTTTTATAAGGATTGATAATTGGTGTTAAATTTTTTGAATCTGGCTTTGGTTCCTCCGAATGCAGTACATCAAACGTTATTTAATCATGGGTTTTTTTTTTTTTTTTTTTTTTTTTTTGTTTTTTTTTTTTTTTTTTTTTTTTTTTTGGAAATTGGAATTGAGAATTTGTTCTACTTGTGCATGAGTGAGTCAGAGTATACAGTTTACTAATAGCACAAGTTATAGAAAGAGAAGTGGAATTTTGATTCTTGCAAGTTGCAACTTTTTGGTTTTTCAGTTTGATTTTCCTCTTCTGTATTCTAAAACCAGATACCACAAAAATTTATTTTTTTAAATTTTTAATTTCTCTTTTTGATGGCCGTTGTTTTACTTTAAACCACCTTCCATTCCCTTAACCCAAAAAATGGTTTCTCTTTCAGTTAAATTCAACAATTTTTCTTCAACTGTTTCTCTTTACAATGCTCTTATCTAGGCATGGCCATATTGCGGTTCCGGGAACCGGAACCGTCGGTTCGAACCGGCCCGGAACCGCAACCGGAACCGGTGAGAACCGGAACCCGGTTGAGAACCGGACCGGGACGAACCGGAACCGGAACCCGAAAATTCCGGTCGGTTCCCGGGTTCCAGCAAATGTGGAACCAGAACCGGCGGTTCCATAGAAACCGGTCGGGAAACCGGGAATGGGAACCGCCGGTTTCCAAATTCCGCCGGTTAAGAACCGCCGCGTTCTAACCGGTTGTCGAACCGGCGGTTCTAAGCCCGTTGATAACTTGTTCAGATTTTGTGTTTTTTTTTTTTTTTTTTGTTTTTTTTTTTTTAAATTTGTTTGTTAAATGTCTTAACAACAAATCATTATGGTTTCAAACTTAAAAAAAAAAAAAATCAATTCAAATTTTTTTTTTTTAAAAAAATTCATTATGGTTCAAACTTTTAAAAAAAAAAAAAATTCAGGTTCAAATTTTTTTTAAACCGGGGCTTTAAAAATTTGAAATTTTTAGTGTATTTTTAAATTTTTTATGTTCAAATAATTTTTTTTTTTAGTTGGTCTTGATAATTTAAAATTTTTAACAGTGGATTTTTTAAAGTTTTTATGTTAATATAATTTTTTTTTTTAAAACCGGTATTCAAAATTTTAAAAATTTTCAAATTATGCGATTCACCGGAAAAACCAATTCGGAAACCGTCGGTTTTTGTAATCGGATCGAACCGGAACCGGAACCGGAACCGGGACGGTTTTTCCAAACCGGAAAACCGGAACCGGCCAATTTCGGTTCGGTTCCTCCAGCTTTTTTCTTGGAACCGGAACCGCCGGTTCCGGAAACCGTGGCAGCCTACTCTTATCTTAGGAAGGAAAAAGAAAAAAAAAAAATAAAGGAAAAGTAGAAAAAGAGAAAGAAAAAATTTGGATTAGATAGATAATGGTTAGATTAGAACAAAAAAAAAAAAATGGTAAGGTCATGATTGCCCGGTTCCGGAACCGTGGCCATGCCTACTCTTATCTTAGGAAGGAAAAGAAAAAAAAAAAAATATAAGAAAAGTAGAAAAAGAGAAATAAAAAATTTGATTAGATAGATAATGTTAGATTAGAACAAAAAAAATAAATGGTAAGGTCATGATGAATTGTGTAGCACTAATAAAAAGCAATTAGTGACAAAATGCAATAATTTTACCTAACACTTGAATGGAGAGAATTTAATAGGTTAAGGAATTATTGTCCCCTTAGTGCCAGAAGCAAAGCCCTAAGGGACGGGTCCTATCAAATAAAGACAATAGGATCACTCAGCAAATAACCATTCTGTCTCACTCTAATACAATAAAATTACCTTGCAACTTGCCTTGCTAACCAAATCGTGATTAAGAAGAGTAATTAAAAATAATATATAATAAATGCTAGTATGAGATCATTTTGTAGACAGGTCATATCCCACTTTGTGAAATTGACATCATTTTATATAATTATGACATGAAAGTACTGCAACTGTTAACCATCATTATTATTTACTGGTTTTCTGTTTTCTTATTTTTTTCTCATTTTATGCTAATTTAATATTTTTCATTAATTTCATAAAAAAAATATTAAAAAGCAAAAATTACTACGCTATATGAGATGTAAATCACTTTGTTAGCCCAGATCGTAGCCACGGCCCACAATGGGTCTCAGGTTTAGCAGAATGGGCCTAACTTGGACTAATAAAGAAAGTTCGGTTCCAAAAAGATACTAATCAAGAAGAGGGCTAAGCCCAAAGTCAATTCACTAAGCGTAATGCACGTGTCAGATCCAGAGTAAGCTTGTACTTGTACATAGTGCACCAAAACAGGATACGAATGGCGGTAACATTACCGCCGACACTTCCAGTTTTCAATCTCTCTACGCTTCTCCGACGAAATCGCAACTCTGCAATAATTCTCAAGAATTCCTCGATACGGTGCTCATCATCTCCAACGGCGCCCATGGACCGGAACCAAAAGCGTGTGGTGGTGTGCGGTGGCGGCGTTATCGGGGTATGCACAGGTTATTTCTTAGCCAAAAACGGTGCCGCAGTTACGCTTGTGGAGAAATCGTCGGTGGCATGCGCTGCGTCTGGAAAGGCCGGCGGATTCCTCGCTCTAGACTGGTGCGACGGTGGGCCTTTATCTTCTCTAGCCCGTGCCAGCTTCAATCTCCACCGTTCGCTTGCCCAAGAGCTCAACGGATTTGAATCCTACGGCTACCGTCCTCTCACTGCCCTCAGCCTCACTGTAACAGAATCGGAGAGCAAAAATAAGTCGTCGTCGTCGTCATCGGCACGTGTTGAAAATCTTCCTTCCTGGATTGATGGGCCAGCCCGAGGTCCAAGAACAATCGGGTCAACAGAAACAACGGCCCAACTGCACCCACAGTTATTTACGCGGACTCTTCTGTCGAAGGCCATGGAAAGTTACGGCGTGGAGTTGGTGATAGGGAAAGTGGAGAGAGTTGCAGTGGAGGAAGGGCGAGTTGGCTCGGTAGTGTTGGAAGGAGGACGAGTTATTAACTCCGACGCGGTGGTTTTGACGCTTGGGCCGTGGTCTGGGAAATTTGAAATGCTGAGATCGCTGTTTAGAGTTTATGGGCTAAAGGCTCACAGTATTGTATTGGAGCCCAAAGAGGCAAGTGCTATAACGCCTCATGCATTGTTTCTAAGCTATCATCCGGCTCATGGAGGAGAGCCCATAGACCCTGAAATCTACCCTCGTCCAACTGGTAATTTGAATATTTTTCCCTGTTATGAAGTTCTAATAATATTCTATTACATTCTTTTATTACATTTCGTTACTATTCAAGAAACTGAACAATGTAGCCAAAATGTAATTGATTGAGTTGTCAGGGGAGGTGTACATCTGTGGGATGTCATCAGAGGTGGAGGTGCCGGAAGATCCAGAGGAAATAGTGGGTGATCCAGAGTCAATAGGGGTGCTAAAGAGAGTGGCTAAAACAGTTTCAAGCCATTTAGCAGAAGGGGAGGCACAATTGAAGGCAGAGCAAGCCTGCTTCCTGCCATGCACTGATGACGGTATCCCTGTAATAGGAGAGTTCCCAGGAGTGCAGGGCTGTTATGTAGCCACTGGACATAGCTGCTGGGGTATTTTAAATGGTCCAGCAACTGGGGCTGCTGTGGCTGAACTTGTGCTAGACGGAAAATCTACTCTTGTTGATCTTTCTAAGTTCAGTCCTGCCAGATTTCTTGGGCTTAGAAAGGGGAAATGTTGATGTAAATCATTGTACATAATTTAGGATATGTTTGGCGTTGTTGTTTTTCTGAATTTTTTCAACTATTTTAAAATTCTAATCATAAAAATTTCAAAACAATTAAATGGTACTATCAAAACAATTATAACTAGATTGTTTATTGGCAAATTAATATTGGTTTTGTTTGATGTTTCTGCTTGCTAAGATTTGAAAGAATATCTATAGCAGTTGGGATCACAAAATGCTGTCTTTAGTGTGTAGATTGGACTTTTGTTCTCTGGAAGCATTCAAAGAACTGATTCTCTCTAATAATCTCTGCATATTTTTCCAACACCCAAATCACAGATGGCAAGAACATAACATAACCATGCTAATCACATGCTTCCCTCATGAAATTCTGGGACTGTTGGATCCTGCGTGGACTGTATTTTAAGGGTTCCATCTAATAAAACCTCTCAAGCCTAATTAACTAGTGGCCAAGCATGTGCAATTACAGCATATAAATCCAAACACTTTTCTCCATTTCAATTACTTACACCCAAATTCATGATTTTCGTAAAAAAAAGAATTATTTTGTATTAATTAAAAATTTAATTGATGTGAGTGAGAGTGGGGTGTAATGACCATTACATTAATAATGTGAGTGAAGTGAAAGAGAGTTCCCTAGGTCAAAAGCAAAGAATATAATACTCCACCAAGAAGGAGAAAAATATCTTCCACCTTTTATGTGGCCCTTTCTTTTAAAGCACAATTATGTAGAATATGTACTAAAAAACATGTGCAGGGTAAATTAATTGTTCTACATTAATATTACTATTTAATTAGGTTAGTTCCATCCAATCTTGTCTGCCTCAATTAAAAGAAGGAAAGAAAGAAAAAAAAAAGAAAAAAATCAGTGGGTACGGGTGTATACTAAGACATACCCTAATAGTAAATGTACGTATGATATAAATTAGTTGGTATAGAGAACTGCTTGCTAACAGCTTAATGCAATATTGCCTTAAATAAAAAAAAAAACCGCTAATAATTAAGATCCCGTTTTCGATTGAATTTGGAGTTTATTTTAAAAAAATTTTAGGAAGAAAAAAAAAAGTTTGGTCTTGTTACATTGTTATTAAACTCCATAAAATTTAATTCTTACGAGAAAATGAACAGTTTCATTTATATCATATATGAAAATATGATATTTATAAACAAATTTTAAAACATTTTGAGGAATTTATTTATGAATAATATATAAATTACAACCAGTATGGGGACAAAATTTTGGAGGTAGCTTGTTTTGGTGAAATTTAAACATTTCATTGATTTGTTAGATTTCTTTGTTTGTTAAAAAAATAGGTCACAATTTGATAAAATTGATGAATTTTGCAATTTAGAGCAGAGAAAATAATAATAATAATAATTTAAACAATCGTGCGCTTTGTTTTTTCAACCAATTGATAGAAAGTGAGATTCTATAATTTTCACAATCTATGAATTTTGCATGGACTTTGTGAAAATTTATGGATTTCACATTCAATCGATCTAAACTACCTATCAAAACAATAGACTACGAATTTTTATGTTTTACTACTTTTATTTTATAATAATTGTCACATTTTTAAAAAATTATTAAATTTGTCAAAGTTACTATAAATTATTGAGTAAATTAACTTATTACCCCTAATTTAATGCTAATTTGATAAGGATTAAAGAAGCTAGCAACAATGGAACACAGAGTGTTTACAGGAGATGCCATTTTGGGATAGCATTCCCGAATCTCATACTGTTTATTCATATATCTGTGTTAGTATTTATACAAGAACTGAACCAATCACAGAGTTGTGTGAGTTGGCATTCTGTTAGAGTCTAGACTAAACTTGAGTAAATTAACTTATTACCCCTAATTTAATGCTAAGTTGATAAGGATAAAGAAGCTTAGCAAAACCAATGGAACACAGAGTGTTACAGGAGATGCCCATTTTGGGGATAGCCATTTTCCCGAATTCTCATTTTACTGTTTATTCATATATCTGTGTTAGTATTTTTATACAAGAACTGAACCCAATCACAGAAGTTGGTGTTGAGTTTGCATTCTTGTTAGAGTCTAGGACTTAAAACCTAACATGTCTCGTGAGGGATACAAAATACAATATTATTACAACTTTACACCCCCCTCTCAAGCTGGATTTTGGAGGAAGAAATCAACCAATCCAAGCTTGCAAAAACCAAAAATCTGGAAATGGCTGATTAATAAAAAGGCTTTGGTGAACAAATCAGCTAACTTAAGTTGGAAACTGGGGAAGGGATGAACTGGGGAGATAGGGAGTACTAATAAACCCAGTTTGTAACTTGTTGCGCACCACGTGACAATCAATATCAATGTGTTTAGTTCTTTCGTGAAAAACGGGGTTAGCAGCAATGTGCATGGCTGCTTTATTGTCACAGTGCAAAGGTATTGGTGTAGGTACAAGAATATGAAAAAGGTACAATAATATGAAAATCAGTAAGCAATGAAGATAACCATTGTAGCTCACAAACAGTGGATGCCATTGCCCTGTACTCAGATTCGGCAGAAGAACGACTGACGGTTGGCTGCTTCTTTGATTTCCAAGAGACCAACGAAGTACCCAAAAAAAATACAAAATCCTGTAACGGACCTCCTTGTGTCAGCACAAGCTGCCCAATCGGCATCAGAGAATGCCCAAAGCTTGAAATCATTCGTGGCAGACAGAAATAAACCCTTAAGACTTGTGCCTTTCAAATATTTTACAACAGCCAAGGCTGCTTTAAAATGCTGTTGGTGTGGAACTTGCATGAACTGACTTAATCGCTGAACAGCAAAACTTATATCGGGTCGAGGAGTAAGAGAGAGACAGGTATAACAATCGACCAACAAGACGGCGGTAGCAGTCAGGATCCGGAAGAGGATTGCCCATGTCAGCTGTAAGTTTTAGCCCCTGAACATAAGGACTAGAAATGGCTGTGGCAGCCTGTAAACCAGTATCGGCCACAATATCCGAAATAAACTTATGTTGCGTTAACAACATACCATCCGAGGACCGAGCAATTTCAATACCCAAAAAATACTTTGCAGGACCAAGATCTTTGATAGTGAACTTGGTATGTAAGGATTCTTTCAAAGCAGTAATTAAGTCAATCGAAGGACCTGTAATAAGACAATCATCAACATAAACCAAGATAGCCAAAAAGGTAGGACCTTGACCTTTAGTAAACAAACAATGATCATAAGATGATTGAGTAAACCCCTGTGTGAGCAAACTAGAAATTCTTTGTTCCACTAGCGGCCAGCTTGCTTCAACCCATAAAGCGACCGTTGCAACTTACAAACTTGTCCAGGCATAGCTTTCTCATAACGGGGCAGCACCTGCATATAAATGTCTTCATCAAGAAACCCATGTAAATAGGCGTTGTTGATATCAAGTTGATGCACGGGCCATGTGAAAGCAGCTGCAACGGTTAAGAAAACTCAAACAGTAACCAATTTAGCCACAGGAGAAAAGGTCTGGTTGTATTCCAAACTGAGCAATTGGTTATACCCCTTGGCGACAAGACGAGCCTTGTAGCGTTCGATGCTGCCATCTGCATTATACTTCACCCTGTAAATCCACTTACAACCAATATGAGTGACATTAGGAGGTAAATCAGTGAGCACCCAAGTATTATTTTGTTCTAATGCAGTGAGTTCCTTATGCATGGCACCAGTATATTTTGTTCTAATGCAGTGAGTTCCTTATGCCATGGCAACGTTACCCAATTAATGTCAATTTTTAGCTTGATTATAAATTACAAGGGATAATTACAAGGTTCAATAATCTTGGATATTTGAGCAACAAAAGACAAATGAGAGGTAGAAAAATGGATATGAGATTGGTTGAATCAGTGACAAAATCGGTTAACCATGGAGGTGGATTGCGAGACCGAGTACTTCTCCGTAATACTGGTTCAGAAACAATAGGTACAATTGCCAAACCATCGCCGGAACCAACCTCAGCCATCGAATCACTACCAGAACCAACCTCAACCGTCAAATGTGGCTGTTGAATGATATCAGGTGGACCACTTTCTGGATGTTCAACCAAATCAGGAGGCAGTGATATTATGTCAGCGAGCGGTAAAGGAGCAGTAGAGGGAAAAGTGGAAATAGGGACATCCTAATCTGTAATACATTTAGGTAAAACAAAATCTGTGAAGGCAAAACAAAATCTGTGATACTGGCAGGTTTAGAATGATGAAATGGAAACACATCTTCAAAGAAAACCACATCCCGAGAACTGAAAAGAGCTTTGGTGTGCAAATTATAAAGTTTATATGCTTTTTGCTACTGAGCATAACCAAGTAAAACACAAGGAGAAGCCCGAGGATCAAACTTTCGCTTGTGTGGTAAAGTATTGGTAGCAAAACACAAACAACCCACAGTTCGAAAATAACTATAATCAACAGATTTGCCATGTAATCTTTCATAGGGTGTTTGCCAATTAAGATTTTCGGAGGGTAACCTATTATTAGCATATGAGTAGCAGTCAAACAATAATTCAGACCAAAAGGAAAAGAATGGAAGCTTAGATTGATAAAAAGTAAAGCTCTGGCAAATATTCAAAAGAGTGCGATGCTTTCGTTCAAGCAACTCCGTTTTGCCTGCGGAGTGTGAAACACAAGACCGTTGATGTAAAAGTGCCCTTTTTCTTGAAAAAAAATGATTGGTCAAGGCAAAATTAATGAACTCAGTGCCATTAATCCGAATAGTATTATTTTGATAGTCTGCCATAATGCGTGAAACACATATTGAAAAATAAGACTTTAGAGCTGTCAAACCTGATCCCTTTACTTTTCAACAAATATATGTCCCCATGGCAAAACCGACCTGAAAATATCACAATCGTCCAAAAATCATCAACAATCGTCAACATATATACAACATTAGTGACAGATTTTAACTGATAAGGGCCCCATAAATCCACATGAATGAGATAAAAAATATCCACAGTAGTGATTGTGCTAGTTGGAAACGGCAAACGAGTTTGTTTTGCAATGGGACAAATTGGACACATCAAATCAGCATAATCATATTGAAAAATTCCAGGAACATGTTTCAATCTTTTATGTGCTATATGCCC